ACCTTAATAAAGAAATAAAAAATTAAAATTAAAAAAATCACTGAAGCAAAGTGACATTTTAAAATTCACAGTGGAAAGGAGGAAAGGAATTTTAGAAACAACTATTGCCTCTCCCCAACACATTAAACCCCAATTCCCAAGTGAATTTACCCTGTCACTAAATTCAGCCCTTATACTGTAATTTGCAATAAGGTTTGCCTACAGCACATAGTGACTGGATGAGCCTGGGAGGAAGAAACAGGAAGAAGACTAGAAAGTGTACTTAGCACTGGAGGGGGTACATTTCAAGGACAGACATGAAGAATAAGTGCCCTCTTTTCGCTCTCCATGTGGAAAAGATGGCCATTTCATGGTAGGCAACATCCATGAAGAGAACCCACAGCACCCGGAAGTTTTCAATAGGCAAAGAAGGACCTGGAATAGTGGTAGTATGGTAAAGGACAATCACTCTGAGGAGAAAGCAGAGATAGCTGGAGGATCTGGTTAGGAGACCAGCCCACTTACTAGTACAAACTGAATCCTCATGCAGCTGCCAATTTTAAACCAAAGATAGTACCCCACATATGTTGTCCAAAGCCCAGAGAGATTTATCCAGATTCTGACATGACTAATAGTAGCTGGGCAAAACAAGACAAGTGTTGGAATAAATTAAACTTTCTAATTGGGGTTATTTCCATACAGGAAATGGGGAATTCACCCTGTGACCTGTCAGATCAAGGTATCTCATCCTTTCACAGACCATAACCCACTCAACCCAGCACTGCTGTCTGAGTGAGAGTACTGTCCTGGAGAACACTGCTCAAAGCTGAGATTAAGGATCCTAAATTTAGAGAACATGTATACTCTACCCCTTAAGAGAAGCAGAACATGAGGAAAATGTTCCTTTGATGGATGTGAATCTACTAAGAAAGAGAGTATTACAGAATAATTTGGAGGATGATTTTCTTTGTTTTTATTGGTGCAGGAAAAATGAGAGCTATTTGTGTTTTACATTGTTTTCTCTCCCTGGTTTTAAGACATTTATCCAGGTCTTCTTGCCACAAATAAGAGCAAGCAATCTCATCTGGCCTAAGCAGAGGTTCCTGAAGAAAGTATCTTTTCCTGACTTTTGTTTTAGAAAGCCTATACTCAATGAGGGGATTCCCTGTTAGGGAAAATTACGAGAGGTAGTATCTTTGAGAGATAAAAGAGTTTGGAAAGGGGTCTTCCACTGTAAGAAAAATATTTTAAAAATTGAGAAAGGGGAAACCCAGTATGACTAGGAAGAGAACAGAAGTCTAAAGTTTCAACAAATAGAATGGGAACCTAACCCTAACCCTCACAATTCTCCAGAGAGAGAAGGATGCAAGAATGACCTGGCCACAGGATAAGCCCAGAGAGGCTGATTCTTAGCTCAGAAACCCTGGCCTCAGCAAAGATTTCCTTGTTCATGTATAGCATGGGTTTAGCAGAGGCATCTGCCTCCAAGGAACCATCTGGGTTGATCGCAAGTAAGGAGTGTAGACTAAAAGACCCAGAGAGGCCCTCTTATATATCCTGCTACTACTTGGTGAGAGATGGGAGAAACACTGGCTCCAATCTATTAACTGATCCTGATTTCACTATGCAGGGGAACTGTAGTCTGATTTAAATTTTACTTCAAGTGAAATAAATATGACATTTCCTCATGCTCCATCACACCTGATGCATCTATGCTTTGTTATGGTACAGATAATGAGGGTTTAACAAAAAGAGACCCTTTTAAATTAGTAAATGAAAGAAATATAAAATTGTATATTCATATCTGCATCTGAATTATAATTTTATTAAATTCCAGTGAACCAAAATTTGAGCAGCTTTGTGGACTATGCTGAAGCAAAAACAAGTTTCACAATGCATGATATAGTCCCACTGATGTTTATGATGTATTGAGCTCCTAAGTTTTACCATTCTGCATCACCAATGGCTTTTGCAAATACATAGTCTCTCCCTCCAAAACACATAACACCATCTTTCAAATAAAATTTCCATTTGTTCTTGCTTCGATGAATCTGTAGGAAGAAATATAGTCTAAATTAATTAATTTAAAGTCAAAGTATTATTTACATTTCTTTGCATATCACATGTGATTATTCTAACCCTAAATGGGAGTACTTAAAAAAAAAAACAAAAACAACTTCCTGCCCTGCGGGTGCAAATGGGGCTGATGCCGTCAGCATGTGGGAGTGGTGGCGGTAGGAGCGGGGCTGCCTGCAGACAGGGGACCGGGGACCACAGCTGGAGGGGCCAGTCAGGGTCACAGAAGATGGGATGAGATCTGCCCCTGTGCCCACCACAGCCGCACAGCCTACAGGTCCTTTCAAGGTGCATGAATTCATGCACTGGGCCTCCAGTATGTATATAAATTCCCTGGTTAATCTCTCCCCACCCCCACAAAAGAAACCAAAGAAATACTAGAAGAAAACGTGGTGATCCCTTGAAACTCTTGAGGCAAGAACTTTCTATTCATGACTCAAAATTTAGAAGCCATAAAAATAAAGGTTGCCAAATTCAACATCTGCATGAAAGAAAGAGAAAGCATTGAAAACAAACTCAGGAAAATAGTATTTATGCATATAACAAGGCTAATTTCCCCCCCAAATAACAGAGCTCTTAGAAATCAATAGACAAAGATTATGAACAAACAATTCACATAAAATATAAATGGCCCTTAAACAAGCAAAAAGTTAAAAATTTCACCAAGATATCATTTTCCACGCTTCATAATAACCACTTATATTAGTTTCTAAGTATATTGGCAAAGCTTTATGAAAAGAAAAGCACTCTCAACCATTGTAATGGGAGTATATACTGGAATATCATGCAGGAAAGCATTTTGGCAATATCTAACCATATACATTTGCCCTTTGTCTCAGTAATCTCACTTCTTGGGTTTATTTAGTAGAAATAACTGTCTTATGTATCTGGCCATTCAATAGCAAATGACTGAAAAATAACTCAAATATTCATCAACAGGGAATCATTAGAATTATTAAATAATTATTAAATAATAAATCTTAATTCTACAATGGAATATTATACAGCTATACAATACTAGCACAAATTTCTCCGAGATATATTCTCTTTAAAAAACAAGGTGCAGAATACAAGATTCTTGTGCTACCTTTTAGGCTTGTACTTGAATAAAGAGACTCTGGAAATATATTCAGAAACTAATATAACTGGTTACTTATTTGTACTTAAGGCAGGGACAGGGCACTACTGGTAGGAAGCACAAATGATAAGAGAGTAGAAACCAGACTTTTCATGGTATAAAAGTGTTTTGTTGTTTTTAATGTGTATACTGGATCAAAAATATATATATATTTATATATATACACACACACACACACACACACATACACATATATATTTCCTCTATCTTTGTTACTCAGTTTAACTTTTATTTAAAAATATATTTTTAGCCCTGACCAGTTTGGCTCAGTGGATAGAGCATTGGCCTGGGGGCTGAAGGGAACCAGGG